GTCAGCCTTCCTGCTCCTCTGATGCTGCTTGGCCTGCTATGTTCATCCAGCTCTACACCTTGTTATCTCAGATTCTCCAGCATCTGCAGTTCCTACTATCTCTGATACAATTTTAACCCTGATTATTACACTGTTCCTCACTTGCTGGTATTTCTGGTCCTTCAGATTATTTTATTTGTAAGTATACTTGAATGTGGTCTATTATACTTAAAAACCGTGGGCAAGAGCTGTGAATCAGTCCAACAAGAGGTTGGAAATGTAAAGTTCCACCAGTATTTAGCAGTTTTAGCGACCTTTTGGATGACCATTTTACTTGAGTAAAGAGCTGTTGCGGTAGTAATGATGGAAAATGTGACATAAAGTCACTGTCATTACTGTCTACTTGGAATACACTTAACATCTGGAGGGAAACCGTGGGAGTGGAGAGAGAATTGATGGGGAGCCAATGGAGTTTCCATTCCCAATACCCTGAAGTGATACTATTAAAGTGAAAATCTTAGCTTTCTATGTTTTGACAAACTTGAATGCGGATTTATTCATATTAAATTATAATAACCTTATCGGTATTAAAAGGGGGTGTTATTTCATTACAATAGGTTTGATGGAACATTGATGACTGAAAGTCTGAAACCTTTCTGTTTTGCAGAGTATAAAGGTCAACTGGCTGCCACCACCGGCCAACATGCAGAATGGTTTTATTACCGGCTACAAAATCAGGCACAAAAAGATTGGCCGAAGGGGTGACATGGAGACCCTGGAACCCAACAACCTATGGTATCTCTTTACAGGTGAGATTCAGTCACTTCAAAGTATTGACTGTTTTTATTGTGACAGCATGCACCTGTTGTACGAGGCTCTGCTCCCCCATAGCCACTGCCCAACACAAACTGGCTCTCTTAGACCCCATACCTGAAGTTTAAAATTTGATTTTAAACCATTCCAGATGAACACTGTATCATCTTGATATTCCTGTACCTCTAAACTTGACAGTTTGGATACCTCACCTAACTCCTCTCCTCAATATTGGGAGCCTAGTCTTCAGCTTCTTAGGTCTGATCTCCCATAACTTTCTCTAAATCCTCTTAAATTCTTTCTTCTTCTTTAAAAATCTCATTAGCTAATGTTTTGGGTCACTCCTGCTAATCTCTCTGGCTTAATATCCATTTGCTGCATATCAGTCTGAGAAAGGCCTTGCAATACTTTAGAACATTACAAGATAAATACGCAATATCGCTAATATATATTGCTATGTTCTTGGATCTAGTAGCTTGCCAGCGAACAAGCAGGACAGTGTGCACATTACTACAGCTATTAGTTTTATCATTCAATCTCACATCTTCCCCTTTATCTTTTGAAGGTAGTGGAATTGAGTTGAACTAAACTTCAACCACCAAATTTACGGACAATAATAGGACGAGAGCAGCAGAAACAGATATATTTTTAGACGATCATTAATCTTACTTACCCCCTCAGTATTGGGAAAATAATAACGTAATTAGTCCATGACTGCTTCACTAAACTAAGTAACAAGAAAAAAACATTGTAACAGTTCCTTTCTCTTGATATTTGCAGAATCTATCTGACCCTATGATCTCTCTGAAGCCTCCGGACAGACTAACCATTTAAACTAGACAGACTGTTAAATAACTTCAAAAATGTTCCCAACCATATTTAAATAACTGATTATTTAATTTTCAAAAAAAAAACGCTTAATCACCCATATGAACAATTCCGCAAGAGATTTGAATTTAATGTCCTTCCTTCAGCATTGCTACAGACAAACTAACTGCGAGTAGTGGCAGGAAAAGAACAGTCAAGGTCAGATGGGTACATAAAATAAAAGGAAAACAAAGCATGATTGCAAACTAGCTCCAATGTGCTGACCTTTGTGTTTAACTAAGGTGTGTTGGACTATGGCTACTCGCTGGAGTCAGTGTGATTACTGGAACATATGGCTGGGCTATGGCAACACCAGTTCATTGATTCCCTACAGAATGGAAACAGGCCCTTCGGCCCAACAAGCCCACACAGACCCTCGGAGCATCCCACCCAAACCCATCCCCCTATAACCCACATATCCCTGAAGACTATGGGCAATTTTAGCATGGCCAATCCACCTAGCCTGCACATCTTTGATCTGTGGGAGGAAACCGGATCACCAGGATGAAACCCACGCAGACACGGAGGAGAATGTGCAAACTCCACACAGACAGTCACCCAAAGGTGGAATCAAACCTGGGTTCCTGGGGCTGTGAGAGGGCAGTGCTAACCACTGAGCCAACATGCTGATGAAGTGAGAGGCTTTTTAATGGAGTTTAAATCTTTGGTTTTCTTGGGGTTTGTGAAACTTGGCAGTAAAAGGTAGGTGAATGTCAGGTGGAGATCGTGGTGTTTCTGTAAAATTCTGATTGTTGTTCTCAAGAAAGACTTGGATTCGACAGTTGCTGTGGAAGCAACCTCTGGGAAATGCCTGTTGCTGTAGCAGAGGTTTAGGAATGTTCAGAGCCTATTAAACGGGGGCCAAGGTGAGATGTAAATGTTTTTGACTCCACATCTGTGAAAGAAAGACCATAGACAGAATATTGACATGGTGCATTTGCACCAACAGATGCACAGGAGAGAGGTAAACAGGAGAAAGATGGATACTCTAAAGAGACGGACAGGAGAAGGTGGTAGATAGGGAGAGGGTGGTAGATTTGGAGAGGATGATAAACAAGGAGAATGGTGCATAGAGAAGAGAAGTGGAGGTGCATATGCGAGAGTGATAGATAAAGAATAAAGCACTTGACAGTGGAGAGAGAAGTTGACATGGAGACAGTATGGCCAATATGGGAGAGTTTGGCAGATATGGGGAAGTGTGGCGGATGTGGGAGGGAGGGATATGAGAGGGCTATCGGAAAGAAGTGCACAGGGAGATTGTTGCCATTATGAAGTTTATAAGATTGTCATATTTTGGAACTGTGGGCTGTCCTTTTACACATTGAATTGCAGTGCTTTGCCAAGTGAGATTCATGACATCCAGTCTGCCATGCCTCACAGTGACTTTTCTCACATAATCCTCTGCTCTTCACCTCATTAAGTTTGCACCGGACTCTACGGTGTCCTCTTTACGGAATCGTGCAGCAAGCAAGGTGGAAGTACCCACAAGTGCTGGGACCTTTTGGCATGCACGCCATATTTAAAGGCTGCACACCACTTCAGACTCTGCAAGCCGGGAACTGACCTTCACATTGTAGTCTTCCACCATCGTTTCTAAGGATGTTGAGTGCCAGAGGAGGCTCTGCAACTGCATACAACCTGACTCCTCATGCCATGAGGAAAAGTTCTGAGAGTTAGCTGGAGAAGAAGATGCTTGCTCATTTTTGGAAGTGAAGCCTCAATGGCCAACCAATCCAGTAAGCATTATTGTGCTGTACTGCACTATTTTGTGATTACCACCAATGTTCACTCATTTCTAATCTGCACAAACATTTATCCCTCTTACACAACTGATTCTCTGCCTTCTCACGGCATTCAGTGAGCACCCCGCTCTGAAGAAGCCAGCAATGGAAAGCCTCAGCTTCACCTTCACCTCTGAGGAGGAAGCTTTTTAACCCTCAGAGGATATACTGGCAAAGCTTTCTGATTCACCCTTTACCAGCTCAGAAATTTTCATCTCAGTGAGCTGTCTTTCTAGATTAGAGTTGGAAGCACAATCTGATGAGCACAATTGCCTGTCTCCGCAATTGCCTGAGGAAGAAATACCTTCAGGTCTCTCACATCTGGAAGACTGCCAGAGACTAGACACCTGGTCAGCTCGAGGCAGAAGGTAATACCTTGGTCTCATCTATTAAAGACTTAGTGAAAATGCAGAGGCAGGCACTGAAACGTCAGGCAAGTCTGTCAGAGGCAGGCAGTAAATTGGATGGAAGGATGGAGTCCACCAACATTGTCAGTGCCATGGAGGTTCTAGCATGTGTATGTCTAGCTGTGTCAAGTGAGAGGTTGGAGAGCCAGGTCCAGCACACTCAGTATTTGTCAAATATGCACACTCCATTGCTGTGGCCACAAGAGGAGGTATTGGCCTCATGGTATTAGCACTAGGCTATTAATTCAGAGATTTAGGTAATGTCCTGGGGACCTGGGCTCAAATCCGGTGGGGTTTGAATTCAATAAAAATCTTGAATTAAGAATCTAATGATGATCATGAATCCATTGTCAATTGTTGGAAAAGCCCATCTGATTCACTAATGCCCTTTAGGGAAGGAAACTGCCATTCTTACCTGGTCACAGCAACGTAGTTGACTCTTAAACTGATCTCTGGGCAATTAGGGATGGGCATTAAATAATGCTGGCCTAACCAGTGACACCCTCATCGCGTGAATGAATAACAGTGGCAAGGCGAGATGGGTATCTGGGACCTTGCCCCTTCCTCTCAGGGAGAAAAGGTGGTGCCAGGAGTCACCCATAGGGAGGAGAAGACACATGGGCTCTCCAGAAGCTTCTTCTCTGAATACTCTCCAGATGCACAGTCATTCCACCTCCACCCTTGTCTGTAATGCCAAAGCCTACAGAAATTCCAGCTGAAGAGGGTGATCCTGCATCTGGGCCTGTATCGCTCCAGTCACCAAAACCAACTCTCGAGCAGGCTCCCTCCACCCCAGCTGTGATGGTCAGGACTACATGCATTTGGAAAGACAGGGTTTGATTAGTCAGCATGGCTTCATGCATGTGAGATCATGCCTCACCAATTTGTTAGAGTTCTTTGATGAAGTGGCCAGGAGGGTTGATGAGGGCAAGGCAGTAGACGTAGTCTATATGGATTTCAGTAAGGCCTTTGATAAGGTTCCACATGGTAGGCTGTTCTGAATGGTTGGATAACTTGGAATTGTGGGAGAGCTGGCAAATTAGATACAAAGTTGACTTGATGGTAGGAAGCGGAGAGTAATAGTGAAAAGATGCTTGTCAGACTGGAGCCTGTGACTAGTGGTGTGCCTCAGAGGTCGGTGGTGGGCCCATTCCTGTTTGATATCTATATCAATGATTTGGATGAGAATGTACAAGGCATGATTAATAAGTTTGCGGTTGAGACAAAAATAGGCAGTATCGTGGACAGTGATGAAGGTTATCAGAAATTGCAGCAGGATCTTGATCAGCTAGGGAAATGGGCTGAGAAATGGAAAATAGAGTTTAATTTAGATAAATGTGAGGTGTTGCATTTTGGAAAGTCAAATCCAGGTAGGAGTTTCATGGTGAATAGTTGGGCCTTAAGGAGTGTAATGGAACAAAGAGACTTTAGAGTTCAGGTGCAGGGTTCTCTGAAAGTGGAGTCACAGGTAGACAGGGCAGTGAAGAAGGCTTTTGGCACACTGGCCTTCATCAGTCAGAGTACTGAGTAAAGAAGTTGGGAAGTTATGTTGCAGTTGTACAGGACGTTGGTGAGGCCGCACTTGGAGTATTGTGTTTAGTTTTGGTCACCTAGCTATAGGAAGGATGTTATTAAATTGGAAAGAGCGCAGAAGAAATTTCCAAGAATATTGCCAGGACGCAAGGGACTGAGTTATAGCGAGAGGTTGGACAAGCTAGGACATTTTGCTTTCGAGCATAGGAGACTGAGGGGGAATCTTATAGAAGTGTGCAAGATCATGAGAGGTATGGATAGGGTGAATGCACTCAGTCTTTTTCCTAGGGCGGGAGAATCAAAGACTAGAGGGAATCAATTTAAGGTAAGAGGGGAAAGAATTTATGGGAACCCGAGGGGCAACTGTTTTACACAGAGAGTGGTACGTAGGTTG